AACTGACCTCATGAGCAGCTCTGAAACAGATTTCTCTCTAGAGTTGTTTCAAGCTGGAGTGAGGGGCCAGGACTTTATATGGATGCATCAACTAGCCATCTAATGCTGCTAAGAAAGCAGAGTGACTTTGGCCAAGTTTTTTTTCTTTTTTTTTTTTTCCAAATGAGAAGAGCTCCTGAAGAGGACTGACAACTGAGTAGTTACAGCACTCCCAGCAGCTGGAGAATAAGTCCTTCTGCCTTAAGGGGATATGAATGGTTCTTTAGAGCATCCATTCAGGAGGCAAAGTGGAAGCAGAAAGACCAGTTAGGCAAAGTGGAAGCAGAAAGACGAGTTAGGAGGCAATGATTCAGAAAGAAGACGGCAGGTTCCGCTACTGGGATGTTAGAAGTGGAAGTAGTGAGATATATTCATTTTCTGGATTTATTCTGAAGGGACAGTCAACAGCATTTACTAATACATTGATGAGGGATTCTGAAAAACCAAAAAGAATAATATGAACTCATGATTTGTAGCCTAAGCAACTAGAAATAGGTAGAAAATATCTGAAGAAGTGAGGAAAATTTTGGGAGGTGGGGAACAACTTCAAAAGAAATGCAATTAATTCAGATTCAGATGCACTGATGTTCAGATATCTATGAGGTGTTCCAATAATGATGTTAATTGTGTGAGTGAAGTCATCCAGAGAAGCCATCCAGGCTGGAGAAATACATTGGAACTCATTGGCTTTTAAATATTCTTTACAGCTAAATAACTGGATGTGATCACCAAGGAGTAACTCCTGGGCTACGTCAAAGCTTAGGGGTCAGAAGGCACAAAGCAGACAGAGGGGTGTCCAGGGGATAGGAGGAGGACTGAAAGGAAATGGAGGGTCTGAAACCAAGCTAAGAAAGTAATTCAACAAAGAGAGGGTGAACCAAATACACTTATTCCTAATGGATAAATGTTTCCTATTGTTGTCTCTGTTCCTCTTTCTGAATATCTTGTTAGGTCAAACAGTACTTTGAAGCTTTTGGTTTACTTTAATTGAGGACTACTAATACTAATAGCTTTTTAAACTAGAAAGATATACCCCAAGGAGACGAGTAAGTAGTATAACTATATACTTATAGCAGTATATTCCGTATAATTTATAGCATTATAATACTGTAAGCAGTAATAACAGAAGTAGAAACAATCCCTATGTCCAATACAGATGAGGCCAAATTTAGACTATAATGGAATTTCACATACCGTTGATGAGATGTCAGGATTCACTTTAAGTATTGTACACTCAATTCTGAGTCTGTGAATTGGGTTTGTCCTGATTAGGATCTCTGGAATCATCCATTACCTGAGAGACAAAGATCCAAATGATTAATGTTTTCCATCTTTAGAGGAAAAATGCACCAAGGGCTGAGCAGAAGTGTCCTAGTGTTTGCCAGAAACAGGATGTAGAGGTGCAGAAGCTAAACGTGAAATCCCCCCCAAAACAACCTGATATCCATTGCCCATGCAGCCTGTGTTTTGTACATGACTTGTTACCCTTCTCTGACTTCATTCACTGCTCCTGTCACTAGTGAAGGCTTCTCCTTAATGACACTATAAGCCATGCTGGGAACAGGTTCCAAGCGTTTATCATTTTATGTCTTCAGAGCTTAGAATCGTGACTGGCACTCAATAGATGTTTATTAAGATAAATAAATGGGCTTCTAGTACCTTCTGTTATCAAGCTGAAGGCATAAAAACAGACAAATGGATGCCTGAATAGCCTTGGCAGCTGGATCTGTTTAATCACTTACATGTTTCTTGGCAAACTTTCACGGACTAATTTATTATTTTCTCAAATTTGTTTCGCATGTCAGGAAAAGAGATTATTTGTTCTGTATTATTTATTTTAAAAACAATGTTTTAAGAGTCTTTCAGCTGAAAGGTATTGCCGTAATATCTGTTTATGAATAATGGTGAAGAATGCTTGCTTCGGCCATCAATAATGCCAGATTTTAAGGAGAATTTTGGATTGTTTTCATCTGTTGCAAACTTTGACAAACTTATTTTTTTCTGAAAAAAAAAATTCAGCAGAGCAGTTTGTGTTCTTTAGTGGGAGAGAGATCATTAAAAGTTTGTGTTTACAAAATACTTAAGGGTCTTGGGCAGACCATGGATGATTCTTTTTGTCAATGGAAAAGTGGTTGCAATTAGAGGATAGACACTTTTCTGCTCTTCATCCAGGTAATTTATATGCTCTTTTGTCATTCAAGACTAGTGCCTGTTTTTTGACCAGGTGCCATCACTTTCTATTTCAATACAGAATGGTTTCTATAGAAATTATCCAAAATATATGTGCTCTTTGAGGCTATATGTAGCTACTATCCAGATGGCTGAAGCATACTGTTATAATGCATGACCATTTATGTGTTTTTAAGTAAAAATTATGACTTCTATTATTATAAGAAATAGTCTATAACAACAATTATTAGTTAATCAAACAAAAGAAAGAAAATGGTTAGGGGAAAGTCACCAATAAGACACAGGGCAAAATGTCAAAATGTCAAAATAATGAATTGATTTAATTGGTTCTCATGTTGCAAAATGATTCAAGAAAGCATTTGAGCAGGAAGAGTAGGGACTAAAGTATTTTTCTCTTCTAAATTTGATTATGCCAACTTAATTAAATAATATTGCTTTATGTTTGGGGGAGGGAATGAGAAAAAGAAAGGATCAGAGGGGAAAGTACAGAATGAGATATAGGAGAAGAATTTCATAGCAGTTTGAATTCACTTGAAATAAACTGATTGACCACTGACAAAAATCTGGACTGTCACTTCTTCTTGGGGAACCACACTAGAACTTTGAGATAAGAGTGGTTTCTTAAGATTTATTTAAGATTTATATATAAATCAAAACATCAAAGGGTAGTATCAATACATACATATATATTTTATACATATATATCCCTATATATACATATATGTTAATATTTCTATTTCTGTTCTTCACTGAATAAAGCTAAAACATCTTAATTCAAGATCTTTGATTACCGAGATTTAACTTACTTTATTTTTGTCTTACTTGCCTTTATTCTCATTTATGTTATTTATCAAACTGGAAAACAACAATACCAACAGGAGTAACATGTATTAAGAATCTCCCTGGCACAGAGCTAAGAATCTGTGGAATTCTTACACACTGAATTTAATTTTAATCCTCACAAGAAGGCTATTAAATGAGAGCTAGTCTCACCCGCATTTCACAGGTGAGAGGACTGAGTCTGTGAGAAGTTTAGTAACTTGTCTGAGGGCCCACAGCTAGTGATGGTCTGACTCCAGGGTCCTATGCTTTATGACTTATTTCCCTTGCTGTTTTAATAGGTGTCTTCAATCCAGCCGTCTCTCTCTGCTTGAAATAAGTGATATTCCATTTAACCTTCCTATCTCCTTCTCCCCGTCTTTCTAAGTGCAGCCCACATGCCACCACCTTGAATTACTGCACTCCAGGTGGCTGTAACATCACCCTCTGAAATTCCCTGTCTTTGCTACTCAAAGTGTAACACACTAGCAGCGGATCTGGGGTGGGGCTCCCAGGACATCTCCTGGGAACTCCTTGATGGGGATAGCATTGAATCTATAAATTACTTTGGGCAGTATGGCCATTTTCATGATATTGATTCTTCCCAACCATGACCATGGAATGTTTTTCCATCTGTTTGTGTCCTCTCTTATTTCCTTGAGCAGTGGTTTGTAGTTCTCCTTGAAGAGGTCCTTTACATCCTTTGTTAGTTTTATTCCTAGGTATTTTATTCTCTTTGTAGCAATTGTGAATGGCAGTTAGTTCTTGATTTGACTTTCTTTAAGGCGACTTTTTCTTTTTTCACTTTGTATCTCTGTCATTTGTATACTTGTTTTATATTCTCAAAATATAAGCTTTTTGAGGGCAGGAGGGGATTGTATTCTCTTTTGAGTATCCATAAATATGTGTAAAAATAGAAGAAGGCACATAGTTTTTTTTCATAATGTGCACTTATATTCAGAAATTTAAACCATATTCTAGGTCAAAGTGTCCTATGTTGTTTAGAATAGTTTCTCCCACTGTGCTAATAGAATCACTTATAGAAATTATTTTACTCATTATTTCCATAATCTCAGGCTTTTGATAACATTGAAAATGTGAAGAGGTATAGTCTAGGTTTTTAAAATAATAATTCCTTCCCATAGCCTTGGTCTATAACTGGTTCTTTAGATACAACATCTTTCACTGCCAAAGCACAAATGTAGATATTACAGATTTGGAGAAAAATCAATACTTAGAGAATAGAAATACTGAAAGCTGAAGACATAATCAATTCACATATGAAGTTTTAAGGTTTGTCTGCAGTCAGGATTCTTACTGTCTTCCAGGAACCTTGGAATGAAATTTTGTTTTTACAAGGATTTGATTCCAAGATTTATTTTAGAGATAATTTTGCTAATAGCATAACCTCAGTCACTACAGATGCTCCTGTATTGTTGCTTACGATTTATATACTAAGGATTAAGTTACTGAAATTTTGAAATAGCTGTGTGTTTTCTAGTTCTTTATTTGGACACAGTGTTTGCATGTATTTATACCTCTAAATGTTCTCTTTGTGTGTGACCAACTGATTATTGAGATTGGCAGATGCTAAGGCCCTTCAATCAGCTTCTTATTGCTGTACAATCTGGCTTTTCTCTTCCTTTCACAGAATATGTAATTAGAATACATGCATGAAAAGAAAAGAAGGCAAACACATATCATTGGTTCTTTAAAAAAAAAAAAAAAAAAAAAAAAAAAAAACTTCTACTTATTCTATTTCAGCAGTTAGTATGACCTCTCATGAAGTTCCAAATCTAAAAATTGTCAAAACAGAAACTACTCTTCGGAGCTGACACAATTCCTCGATTCAGGAATGATTCTGCTTTACCTCTTTTTAGAATTTCTTCTTTCTGCGTGAGTGTGTGTGTGTTGTTTTAGTATGAGGCTCCCTTCCCACCTCAGTCATTGGTTTGCTCGCTCCCTTATGTGATGAATCAATGCTTTCAGAACAGGGGCTTCTGAGTGACTGCGGGAACAATTACTTCCAAATGAACTCGTGCATCTTATCAGGGAGCATTCAGACCACACCCCAGGTAAAAGGAAAGCCTTTGCTTAATGCTTTCAGTAACTTTTAAAAGCAGTGTATGGTGGTGGTGGTGTTTGCTGCAAGGATGTGAGGGAGAGCTACCCGCTGTAGATAAATTTGTCTGTATATTGAAATGAAATGCTATCTTCACTTAGAGAAAAGGCAAGCTGATAAAGACAGAACTGCTCATTGGGCAAAAAAAATGCTCAGGATTGCCCTTGGCACAGTGATAATACTAAGGTACCCTGTAATGTCTTAACAGAAGGCTAGAGGCCATCTGTGAGTGTGGGTGTCAACATCTGAAGGAAGAGAACTTTCAGAGAGATATAAGAAAGGAAGGCATTAGAGCCCATAACTGAGCAAAGGAGCTGTTAGCCTGCATGGCATGGGAGAAAACAATTTCTCAAATTATTAGGCTATCCAGTGAGAAGGTGATGGTCTTAGAGATTTTGAGCATTTCAAAGCATATTTAGAAAAAGATTTTAATCCTTTTATCTCCTATTTCTGTGATTAAGATAGTTTCCCAAGGATAGAAACTGAAATATTTAAATAACATTGACAACTGAAAGTGTTAATTGTCAATTAACAAGTGCAATGCTGTTAACATGCATCTGTTGCTGCTTTGTGGAAAATGATTTTTCATCACCATAGCAATTCATTCTCAGGCTACATTGGAACTTAGCCACAGTATGCTGTAAACAGCAAATTTTTTTTGTTCCGTCCTATACCAGGGATTAAAGTCTCCTGGCTAACATTTGGCTCTTTATCTGAATGTTACATTGCATAGTTAGTATAATTTCAAATTCTTTTCCAACTGAAATTCTTTGCAAATGAGTATTAGATCCCTGGTAAGTTAAGGGTCCTAGGTAAACGTGGTGAAAAGAGCTAATATTGTACTGACAGACAGCCCAAAAGAGGATACCAAATGATTGCCCTTTTTGTGATTATTCTTCTGAAGATATGTATGTGGATAGGAATTTATCTCTGATCTCGTTATTCTCCAACAGTAAACCAGAAAGATGAATAAGTCTTTAGTCTTCTTAGATTTCTTGTTTCTGTGTTTTCTGGAATAATATCACATATTGGTTAAACTGAAATTAAAAAAAATTGTTTTCCTACACTGGTGAAGAAATTTTATGTGGGATATGTATGTTTCTTTAGGAAAATATAACAATAAATTAGAAAGAGATAGATTTTATCCTTTTCAGTTGCCTTTATTGTCAGTGTGTGGTTATGTTTAGAAGTTTTTTGGACAGTACTGTTGTAAAAGCATACCTTAGTCATTGAAGCATCAGTTTGCATTAATACTTCATTTCCACTTTATTCACTGAAAGTTATAGCTGTCAACTTTTAAAAAGTCCATAGTTTGTGATACACCAGTTGCAGAGCTGTATTTGTATCTTAGATACTTAAGTAGCATTTAATTATACAAATTGTGCAAGGTGTTTGAAGAAGTAAATTTTCATCATTGTATATGGCTTAGAAGATAAAGCTACTTAGTCTTATAATGGTTATATGCATTTTGTAACCATGGGGTGCTTATAATGAAGGCTTTCATACGTCATTATTTAAATTTTATTTGGATGGAACCTAAGATAGAACTATAGTCATGACATAAGAAGATAAGTGTGGACCTGGTTGCAGGACCTGTGGACAAAGTCATGATTTCACCTTTTTACTCCTAAATAATTATCTTTACTTCCTACTCAAATGAAATTATAGAATGGATTATTTGAACTTCCTCAGTAATTTCCTTGCCAAAACCACTCTCTTTTCTGTCATGATATTGATGAGATTATTCATGTGATGAAACTGCCCTAGAAGACAATACATCTAGAAAGTCTGCTGTATTATATATTGCTGATCAGACGAGTAGGCCCCTCAAATCTCACAAGGGATCTAATGTTCCTTCCTACAAAATAAAGCAGTGATTTATTACTTCCTGATGGTAAGCTGCCACCCAGGAATTTTGACACAACTACAACGAGGAAATAATGACACACATCTTTAAAGGCGAAAAGAATATTGAAAAGTAAAACTTTTTAAAACTGGCTTAGGAGGGTTTATCTGCACATTGTTTCCATAAGGTATGTTTTATTTACCAGGAAATTGTACCCTCTAAGTAGTCCAGAGTTAGTTCGTTAGGCCCTTCTATCATTTGGATGAAATCTTCTGCAAGGATATCCAAATTTATTTGTTCGAGTTGCCCAAAGAATATCTCTAATTTTAAAAAGAAGAAAATCTCTAATAGCCTAGCCTCCCATATAGTCTGTTCCAAGGATGCCTTAACCCCAGCTTCACGTTTATTAAAGATTGTGCCACCAGCTATCAGCCTCTCTTTCCAGCTCAGTCTTGCCATTGCCTCGTGTGGCTCTCCTTTTCACAGAGTTGACCCTGTCAGCATTCTTGTCTCACATTTCCTTGATCCTCACAAGTTCAGTAGCCTTCCTTTCATCTACTCAGACTTAATGCCCAAGCCTGGAATTTAGAATCATCTAGAATTACTGTACTTCTAATAATTAAATTAGTAAACTCTCATATCATAGTATGACCCCATCCATTCTCTCAAACAGTCATCATTGTATCAACTCTGTTTCCTGAGCTACGGAGACCTCTAGTTCCTTCAGTTTGAAGGTTCTTCTTCCTTCTCTATACAAACCAAACTCCATGGTCAGTCGTTTGCCCTACCCTCACCAGTACCCTTAATTTCATTATACTCACCACATCCTGCCAAAACCAGCTCCAAACGTAAACTAGTAATGCTATAATGTACTTCCTCTGTTCCCATAATGGGCGGTTCAGCATTCCTTGAGAGACTATCAAATAGCCAAGCAAATTGCCTCACTGTTCCTGGATTTATATTTGGACTGGGCCCTCAGTATGGACTGTTAATAATTTTTGTTTCTGGTCAGCTCTCTTTCCCACTACTGTCAGTGATGTTTCAGCCTTTTAAAATCTTCCTTAAAACTCCCAGACCACCTTGGCTAGTTCTTCCTCAGCTGGTGGATCACTCAGTGTTAGAGTCTATGGGGTTCAGCCTTAAGCCTCTTATTTTTCTATTTGTGTTGACACCTTTATTCATCTCTTCTAGTATCCTAGTTTTAAATACTGTCTATGGGTTAACAAGTCTAGCAATTTTATCCCCAGTACAGAATTTCCTCGGAACTTAACTCACATACTCACATTTCCACTTGGATGTATATTGGCATACAAAATTTGATCTTTATTTTTAAATCAGCTTCAACTATTGTCTTCTCCATTTCAGTGAATAATGTGTCGTTTCTTGTGATTATTCACTTCAAAAATCTTCTACCCATCTTGACTTTTGTTTATCTCTTATATTCCACCTCCAATTTTTCAATAAATTCTATGCTTTTTCTTTAAGATGTAGCCAGAATCTTAATACTTCTTACCACTGTCACTGTGGCAACCTGAATTCAACTCACCAGTTTATCTCTTATGGGTTATTGCAATAGACTTATAGCAAGTCTTCATAGCACTTATGGAAATAGTACTACATATTTTGTTTATTTATTTGTCTACTGTCTGTCTGTTTCCCTTTGTGAGAATGTAAACTCCATGAGGGTAGGGATTTTTGTTATGGCAGCAACCCCTGGAATAGTGCCTAGCATTTAGTAGGCATTTAATAAGGCCTCATTGAATAAGTGAAAGAAAGTAGAAGGCAAAGTGTTAAAGTGAGGGTTGGTTTTACTAGGAGCATAGTAGTAGGACTGAAGGCCATAAAAAAGAACAGAGATACAGATGAGTGAATAAATGTGGTGTTGGGGTTGGTTTTTGGAAAGATAAATTTCACATATCTTTAGCTAGACAAATAAATAGAATCAGAGAATAAAGGGGAGACATTATAATTTATACAAACAAAATACAAAGGATCATAAATGGCTATGATAAATAATAACATACCACCAAACTAGAGAAGCTGCCAGAAATGGATAAACTCTTGGACACATACAACCTCCCAAGAGTGAAATATGAAATAGAAAATCTGAACAGAATGATCATGAGTAAGGAAGTTGAATCAGCAATAAAATATCTCTCATCTAAGAAAGGCTCAGGACCTGATGGCTTCACTGCTGAATCCTACCAAACGTTTAAAGAAGAATTAAGACCAATTCTGCCCTAACTGTTCCAAGAATATTAAAGAGGAGGGAATACTTCCAACCTCATTCTATGAGCCTAGCATTACCCTGATACCAAAACCAGACAAGAACACAACAAGAAAAGAAAACTACAGGTCAATATCCCTGATGAACATATATGCAAAAAATTTCAACAAACTACTAGTAAACTGAACTTGAGCAAATTAAAAGTATTATTTACCAAGATCAGGTGGGGCTTATCCTAGGAATACAAGGATGGTTCAACAAAATATACAAATCCATAAATTTGATAAATCACATTTACCGAATTAAAAACATAAAATGCACGATCATTTTAATAGATGCAGAAAAAAATATTTGACAAAAATTAACATTCTTTCATGATAAAAACTTTCAATAAATTGAGTATAAACAGAATATACTTCAACATCATAAAGGCCCTATATGACAAATCCATAGCTAACATATTGAATGGGGAAAAGCTGAAAGCTTTTACTATAAGATTTGGAAAAGGCAAGGATGCCCACTCTCACTATTTCTATGCTGCATAGGACTGGAAGTCCTAGCCAGAGCAATTAGGCAAAAGAAAGAAATAAAGACATAAAAGGCATCCAATATGGGAAAGAAAGCCGTTAAATTGACCCTGTTTGCAGGTGACAGGATCTTATATATAAAAAATTTCAGATTCTACCCAAAACTGTTAGCTCTTAATAAGTGAATTCAGTAAAGTTTCAGGATAACAAATTAACATGCAAAAATCAGGAGTGTATCTAGCAGTATCAATCTGAAAAAGAAATGAAGAAAGCAATCCCATTTATAATAGCTACAAAAAAAAATAAAATAATGAGCAAGAAATTTAACCAAGGAGGTTAAAGATCTCTGTACTGAAAACTATAAATCACTGATGAAAGAAATTGAGAAAGACACAAATAAATGGAAAGATATACTGTGTTCATGAATTGGAGAATAAATGTTGTTCAAATGTTTCTAACACCCAAAGTGTTCTACAGATTCAATGCAACTCCTATCAAAATACCAATGATATTCTTCACAGAATTAAAACATCATAAAATTCTTATGGAACTACATAAGGCCCTAAATAACCAAAGCAATCTGAACAGAAAGAACAAAGCTGGAGGCATCACACTCCCTGAATTCACAGTATGCTACTGCAAAGCTATAGTAACCAAAAACCAACACATGGACCAATGGGACAGAGCTGAAAGTCCAGGAATAAATCCACACACTTACAGCCAACTGATGTTTGATATAGGTGCCAAAAATACACAATGGGGAAAAGTCAGTCTCTTCAATAAGGCATATTGGGCAACGGATATCCACATGCAGAAGAATGAAACTGGACTTCTGTCTTTCGTCACATACAAAACTTAACATGGATTAAAGACTTAAGTGTAAGACTAGAAACTTATGAAACTACTAGAAGAAAATATAGTGGAGAAGTTCTATGACATTGGTCTGTGCAATGATTTTTTGGATATGACTTGAAAAATATAGGCAACAAAGCAAAATATACAAATAGGATTTTAGCAAACTAAAAAGCTTCTGCACAGCAAGGGACACAATCAATAGAGTGAGGAGACAACCTACAGAATGGGAGAAAATATTTGTAAATGATACATCTGATAAAGGGTTAGTAACTAAAAAAATATAAAAAAAACTCTCAACTCAATAGCAAGAAAACAACCCAATTAAAAAAAGGAGAAAACACGTGAATAGATATCTCTCAAAAGAAGATATATAAGTGGCCAACAGGTATATGGCCAATAGGTATGAATGAAAATGATGCTCATAATGAAAAAGACGCTCATTGTTACTAATCATCAGAGAAATGCAAATCAAAATGATGAGATACTACCTCCCTCCATAAAATGACTATTATCAGAAAAACAAAGCATAAGTGTTGCTGAGGATGTAGAGAAAAGAGAACACTTATACACAGTTGGTGAAAATGTCATTTGGCACATTCATTACGGAAATGGTATGGGGGTTCCTCAAAATATTAAAAATACAACTACCATATGATCCAGCAATCCCATTACTGGGTATATATTCAAAGGGAATAAAATAAGTATGTGGAAGAGATATCTACACTTTTATCTTATTACAGCAGTATCCACAGTAGCTAAGATATGGAATTTACCTAGGTTTCTATCAATGGATGAATGGATAGAGAAAATATAGTACATATACCCAATGGAATACTATTCAGCTATTAAAAGAATGAAATTCTGTCATTTGCAACACACAGATGAACATGGTGGATATTATGTTAAGCAGTATAAGCCAGTAGTAGAAAGACAAATACTGCATAATCTCACTCTTATGTGGAATCTAAAAAAGTTGATCTAATAGAAGTAAAGAGTAAAATAGTGGTTACCAGAGGCTGTGGTTGGTAGGAGGGAGGGGGCTTGAGAAGATGTTGGTCAAAGGATATATAATTACAGTTAGATAGAAGAAATGAGTTCACAAGATCTGTTGTTCAGCATAGTGACTGTAGTTATTGACAATTATTAGAAAAATGCAAATATAATGTCGTGTTCTCAACACAAAAATGATACTTATGTGAGGATCTGTATTTATTAACTAGATTTAACTATTTCAAAAGTGTATATGTTTCAAGAAATCATGTACATGATAAATATATACAATTTTATCTACAAAAAAAAAAGTCGTTCTTATCACCTTCCCACTCTTTCTATTTCCACCACTTTACCACGTCTGTGAGCTCTTCTACATCTTAGTCCTTTTTTTCCAGTCTCAAAGGAGACCATATTTGTCTTCTTGCTGCTTTAACTTATTTCACCTGCTTCCTTCTGGGGCTTGCTTCCCTTTCCTCCTCTTCCCTCACCCATCCCCCAGTCTATAGATATGCTCGAGTTTATTATAAGACAAATAAAGGTACCCTGTTGACTCTAATTCCCTCTCTAATTACTCTCAACCTCTCTTTTTACTTCTCATCCAAACTTCTTAAAAGAGAAATCTACAGTATCATCTTTTCTTCTCCCTTCTCATTTAGTCCCCAACTTATGCTTTTGGCTTTTTATTCTTGTGTCTAGGCTTGTGACTTTTAAAACCAGATTTTATCTATCTACAATTCTAATATGACCATGTAATGTTTCCATCAACAATGTCAACAGAACAAAGTCCAAGATTAATACACTCTCCCCTTCTGCTGCTTTCCATGCTTCCACTCATCTCCTTTTCTCAGCTTTGGATCTCTGTATCATCCTCTTCACCTTGACTTAACTTTCAGGTGCTGCCTATTATGAAGCTTCGTGGGTTGGGTAGGCATCCTTCATCACTGTTCCCTTAGTAGTCTGTTAATATCTTTTTTCTTCTTGTGAGTAGTCTACTGACTGTTTCCTGTTCACCACTGTTTTCCTACCTCCTGAGTGCCTGTCACACAGCAAATACTTCATACAATTATTTTTGAATAAGTTGAGAATAAATGAAGGAGAAGGCATATCCTTTAGAGTAGCATTGGTATTCTGATACTTTAAATTTGTATTTTGGCATTCTTGTTAATGATAAATGTGGAAATTTTCTTGCATGCTTATTGATCATGAGTCAATAAATTAAACCTGCAAACCCAAGGTTAAATGGATGAAAGCCAGTTTTGAAACAGACCAGATGATGAGTTCGTGATGACCTCACTGAGATAGAGATGCTCTGTGAGATTCCAGCTGATCAGCTTGCCAACCCGCTGTTTTATGCCATCCCCTCCAACAGGATCTTCCCGGGGTTGTATTATTTTCTCTGGTAAAGGGTATCATAAAAAATATTCTGATATATTATGACTATTTTTATAGGTGTTTACTTTGGCAGCCATATACATGATCACAGGACACTAGGTAGTTTATCAAAATAAATGAAATAAATATCATGTTATATTGAGAATAAAGTCAAGATAAACCGTCGACAAGGCTGAAAGTCTAATTAACTGCGTGTCTCATAGGTCTCTGCTGGTGGTTCTGAAGCCAAACCTCTGATCTTCACGTTTGTCCCCACTGTCAGAAGACTACCAACCCATACTCAGTTGGCTGATACCTCTAAATTCCTTGTTAAAATCCCAGAAGAACCAAGTGATAAGAGTCCAGAAACTGTAAATAGGGTAGGATTATTTTTATTCTTTTTTTATTTCAAACAATTATATTAGATTTTTGATAATGATGACTTGGAAATTTGTATATATTTCCTGTGATTAAGTTCCTGTGACTCTACGTTTGACTAAACATATAATAATGGAACAGAAGCATAAATGTTATCAAATCATATGTTCTCTCTAATGCACTATCTTCAATTTTTTTCAGTTTTACATCCTATTGTTTGCTATTCACATGACAAATTCTGCCTCCTGGCACGTTTCTTCAAATGTTTCTTAAGAAAATAGTAACAAAATTTAAAAATGTTTTAATTTATGTCAAAATAGAACACGAAACAGTGAGATGTTATTATTTTTACGTAATGAATTAGTAACATTAAACAATGTAATACCCAATGTTGGGGCAGTTGTGGAAATATTGGCATGCTTATACTTTGCTGCTGGTTTTGTAAATTCATACAACTTTGGTGGAAATTCCTTATCTACAGTTATAAAACTGTTAATAACCTGTCAATAATCTAACTCTTCAAAATATATCACAAGGAAATAGTACAAAAGAAGAAAAATTATATAGGAAAATAATTATGGGGGTAAAAGAACCTAATATCTAACAATCAGAAAAATTAAGAATATAATAGTACATCACTTTGGCAAAGTTATACTTATGGTAATTAGGTAATTCCATGGAAGAATGTTAACCTTATAATATTAGGTGATGTAATATTGTGTTCATATCCTCATCATCCCTATCTAAAATAAGACCAAGATTAGAAGTGAAATTAAACAAATTTTTAAAACTTGAAAATAACTTATGTTAGAATAATAAAATTTTGAGTAAAAATGTTTTCCTCTTTAAAATGTGTTTTAATATTGCTTAATTCTAAATAAAACGAGATTGGGGCAACTTTATGTTGTTCTTGACACAATTAGAAAGGGATAAAATAATCAGATTTACCTTGTCTGTAAGAAAAAATCTTATCTAGAAAGTAGTAATATTTCCATGCTTCTGGAGTTTTTAATGCCGCTATTTTCTTTCAAAGACTAATGGGGCCAAATTGTTTCAAAGACATTCTGAATACTATATATGGCACTTCTAGATAGTTTCTCTCCTACAGCACTCATTTACATAATATTCATGAGATCCTTTGTAATTAGGCCCTATGAGTGGTGTGAGACTGTAGCTACATAAACCAATCTTGGTTACAAACCTCCAGAGCTTACTAAGATGATAATATTCATCTGTTCATTGCAATGATATATATACAACCACATCTTAAAAAGATTAAAGATTTTTCACCCTATCTTTTAATTAGTCCAACATTAAAATAATGTGATTATTTTAAGTAGCAACAGTTTATTGAACATATGTTATTCTCTTGGTGATTGGATTCCAAGTGAATAAAGACAATTCATATGGCTTGCTTGTTATCAGGAAGGCAAGCAATTAAAAAAAAAGAAAAGTGTGTAATAAAATTCCTTAGAGTCATAAATACTATGAAAAAAACATGTCAGAGTAGATAGAGAAAGATGGGCAGAGAAATTTTAATCAGAGGCAATTTGTGTTTTACCCTGACTATATCATCGTTATCTGCTGAATAATATGGGATGGGTGTATAAAATCAATCTTTTAGTTATATTTAATTAGTGATTTGACTTCTGTCTTCATACATACAACACATGCACACTTAGGACACATTAAATTGACAGCCAGAGTTGAAATTGTTAACTTATTTTTATTTACTGGTTTAACTTTCTATTTTGAGATCATTTTAGCCTTACAGAAAAGCTGCATAGAAAAGAATAATAGTAACCATAGTGTAGTTATAAAAATAAGATAATTGACATTAGGCTGTTTAAACACAATTTTATTATACATGGCTGTCATAATTTTAGAAAAAAAAGTTCGGTAGCTTGATAAAGCTATCTTGATCCTGGTCTTGAAAACATATGTATTCATAGAAAATTGGATGGGAAAAGACTGAGTATTACAAATCCAAAATAAAACAGTGAAAAATGCTTTGTACTAAAAATATCTATGTCTTCTTTTTGCTGTTCTATTTATGAGTTCTTCCTAATTAACTTAGATTATTTTGTCTGACTATGCATTTTGTTCCAATTTTATTTTTCCTTTCAGACTTTTAGAGAGATTTTGTATTATTTTAGAATCTTTCAATGGGGATTTCCTTCCTCCCTTAGCTTTGAAATGATATGCAGGTTGCTTCACCATTAACTAAACCCTTAGCCAATCCCCATTTGTTTCACAAATGTCTTCATGAAAAACAATTGCTCTCTCCCTGTCTCTCCTTAAAATATCATGTCATGACTTACTTTAAAACAGTTAGGTTTGCTTGTTGACGTTGATTATTATTCCAAAGTTGTTTGGGCTTAGACCAGGACAAACAGGTGGGCTAGTGGGCTAGCAAAAATAAACCATTAACTTCAACTCTATCTCTCTCTTATGTCAATCTAATTTAATATATTTTTAAAAATATAAGGAGGTTAAGCTTTTCAGTGTACATGCCAAGAAGAAGCATTTATTAAACTAATGTCAATGTTTGCATCTCTCCACATCTATTACAGTCTAAATCCAATGACTACTTGACCTTGAATGCTGAGAGCCAGCAAGAGAGAGACCAAGGGACATTGACTTGTCCTTCAGAGGTCAGTGGAAGGATTTTACAAGAAAGGGAATTTGAAGCAAACAAACTTCAAGGAATGCAGCAAAGTGACCTCTTCAAAGCTGAGTATGTCCTTATTGTGGACTCTGAAGGAGAAGATGAGGCTACAAGCAGGAAAGTTGAACAAGGGCCCCCAGGGAGGATTGGCACGACAGCTGTCCGGCCCAAGTCTCTAGCAATCTCTTCCAGTCTGGTCTCTGATGTAGTGCGTCCCAAAACACAGGGGACTGATCTCAAGGCTTCATCACATACTGAAATGCTTCATGGGATGGCCCCTCAGCAAAAGCATGGGCAGGTAGGTTTTGTCTTCTTGCTGTCCGTAAGAAAAAAAAGTGTTTATGCACCCTTTGTCTTGGGCTGTCTGCAAAGACCTTCCTGTTTAAGGCAGACAAAACTTTCAAAGAAAAATATATTTAAAAAGCCATAATCTCAGGATAATAAATCATCATAGTGTAAACAGATAATAAATCTATAAAATGAAAAGCATTAAGCAATTATGCCGTGAGTTGGCTGAAAAGAAAATGTAAAGCATTTAGTTGGAGTAAATTTGGGAGAATACTACCCCTTTCTTTTAAATAATTCTTGAATAAGATTGATATTAGGAGTTTCTTTAGTCAAGAAAGTGTGCTTGGTGAGCTGAGTCCATCAAGAAGCATATTTCAGATATAAGAAAGACCTAGTGAAAAGATAGTAATTAGATATTAGAGGTAGACCCATTGATTTTAAATTAGTAAAAGACTAGTAAAATGATTAACAAGGAAATAAGAGTAAGAAAAATAATTTCCCGTGTTTGTCTTAAGGAAAACATCTTTTGTGGTCTTGAAACCCACCAGGGTGTGGCTGACCTCAGTGAAAGGGGAAAATATACCACTCCAAAACTTAGCAGCAAGATTGAATGGTTCTTTCAAGGTAGAGAGAGTCTGGTGCAATAGGAGAAGCCCCGCATCTGTGATGGCAAGAAAGAAAGGATGTGGACAGCGAGGCATTTTGAAGACAAAAATTAGAATAATTTTGCCATTGACTGGCTATTTTCTATAATGAAATTATAAGGTGACTTTGATGAGGTATAGTTAGAATGTTAGAAATGCAGAGGCTGGCTTTGAGAGTAGGTAGTGGATGCAGAGCTCTAACTTCGTAACAGTGACCGTGAATTGGTACCAAGATGTCCTGTTTAGGATCTACTAGAGCAGGCACTTGGAATCAACCCAAAGTAGTTTAAAGGACATTTTTACTGGCATGTTGATCTTTTTGTTTTACTAGGACAGGACAAATGCAAAAAGGCAGAATAGGTATTGGAGTTTTGGTGCCACACCATCTTTATTCCTGAAGTCTTCACTGATTTTCTGGTGGTGCATTTTTATTACCTGCAAGCATCTAGTATCTTATATTGTCTTCTGGTAATAAAAGACACACTCTGTGGTACTCACATTTTCACTGGACTAAAAGATTTATTTCATCTTGAATTTTGTTCTCAGCTATGTATTGGAACAAAATACAATCATATAATTAAAGGTATTCTCAATAAGCTGTTAACAGGTTTAAACATTTCTTTCTTGCCTCAGAAAAGATAATGAAATCGTTGGAGATGTAGAAATATGGAAATCAGAGATGTGGAAATTTCCATTGTTAGAGTACAACAGCTTTAGGTGACTTATTTGAGAAAAAAATGTAGGGGTGATGATATTAATTCAAAAAATTAACAAAGCAATTGTTGGGTCTCTGATTTACTCTTTTTGCTTACTGATTTTTTTTAACCCTTAATTGGCCATTTGTTTTTTTTGTGTGTGTGTATCCAAATATAGAGAAATGAATCTAGAGACTAAATGCATCCTTTAAAATCTTTTTTCCAAAAAGGGTTATTTAGGAGCAGGTTATAGTTCATGTTATTAGCACTCCAAATAAAAAAGCAGAGCCCAACCTCATATATTAATTGTGGCTGAAGATTATGATTACCAGTAATAGAGGAATACTAGATCCTAAAGTGTTTGACCAATTACCAATTGTTTGAATAATTACCAGTGTTCTTGTTTCTGTTTCCTATAATAATCCATTTGAGTGAACAGTAGGTCATCATGAAATAAAAATTAGATGAATATTACCACAAGTGTAAACTAAGGAGAAATGACCAGAGCACCAAAGAAAGCAGTCTGGAAGTTTAATATAGTGAACTGTAATGTACAAAGTCTAAACAAAAAATTACACAATTGGGCTGCTTGATGCAAACAATATCAAGTTTTCAATCAGAAATGCAGTCAAGTAAGTAAATTTCTAGCCTACCTGGTGAAAATGAATCCATATATAGAATTATCTATAAGTTAGCTCTATTGGTTAGTCATTGATAAAGTATTCCTAACAAATGTCTTCACTTCTTAGTCTGGCCTTTAACCTTTCCACAACCTAGCCTAGGTTTCTTTTTCAGTCTATATCTTTTACCTCTATTCTTCAGCTCTCCTGAACTATCACCAAAGTACGTACTTCATACCTTCCTGTCTCTGAGCCCTTGATTCCTCTGGTTGAATGTTTCCTTCTTCCCTAGCTCTTCTCCATTTTGACCTAGGCTACTTGATAATTTAATCTGAGTTCAAGTAGCCTCTCTTCTTAAAGATGTTCCTTTTGGAAAAAAGTTAGTTATTGTTCATCTTTGTGATTTTCTTTATTATTTTGTAGTTTTTAGTAGGGAAAAAAATCTCCATTATAATTCCTTTTCATTCTGGTGTAATAATATCCTTTTATCTTTCTTCCTTACTGACTGAAAACTACCTGAAGTCAAGTTTTGGTCTCTTGTTAATTTCTGTATTTCTAGCACTTAATGCAGTGCCTTACACATAAAGGGGGTTCAATAAAGTGAGTAAAAAAAAATTAAAAAGTTCACATTTCGTTTCACCTTTGAAGTCCTTGTTCAGATATTGATACCTTCATGAAGCTGTTACGTTTCCCTCAGTGAAAGCAAACTCTCTTCCAATATAATTTTAATAGCTTTTTTTCTGTACATATTTTATAATTATCATAGGCTGTACTATAGCTATTTAGATACATGTCTTATCTCTCCTAACAGATTGTAAAGTCTTTACAGGTAAAGCCCATGTCAAATTCAGTTTTATTAAACATTTTGTCCCCTGCAGTGGTTAGCATATTATCTTGGACATAGTCAATATAAATATTGTGTTGAATATATAAAGTCCCCAAGTGCTTTCTTTGAAATGGCATGTTTAAGTATCTTATGTTAAAAAAAAAATCACTAAATAACTTTAAAGCACGTCAAAAGTAAACATGTTACATAAAATAAGGTGTCAAAATCCTCTTAAATAAAATTCAGAAAAGAAGAGACTTAAATGTTCACATAAAAGCCTAAGAATTTTCTTAGGGATAATATTAGCATTAAAAGAGAGGTTGAATACACATACAACACAGTGATTCATCTGAAAGACCTATGATAAAGTTTGGAGCTAAGATAGTGACAGTGGGAATCAACAGAGAGCCTTATGAGGTAGCATTAACTGAACTTGTTCATTGACAATATATGGGAAAAATTAAGCACGAATGGGTTTATTTCCTAGGAAATTGGATGAATGTTGGCATCATTAATTGAAGAATGAATAACAGGTCTTGGGAGGGGATGGGAAGAGATTAGACATCTGATATTGAGTTTGAGAAGCCTTGGTGACACTGCATGATGATATCTACAAAAAAGTTGGAAGTATGAATCCTGGACACAGGAGAGAGAAGGAAGACTGGAGATATTTGCCACATAAGTTAAAGTGATGGGAATTTACTCAGGGAAAGAAGGTAAAATAAGACAGGATTCAAGCCAGGAAACGGGAAAATACAAAACGAGCTGTGAAAAAAGAGAAGCCAATGAGAAACCTAGATGTCTTTTTTCTAAGAGGGGAGCCAAAGAAGCCTGAGAGAGTGGTTTTATGCAGTGGAAGCTACGGGACTTCCCAAAAAGAGGAGTCTGTAGTGGACTATAAAACAAGGTCAAATAAAGTAGGTCCCCTGAGTCCATTAAATGTGGAAATTAGGAGGTCATTTGGTGACTTTGGTGGGAACAGTGTGAGTGAGGTTATGGGGACAGAAATCAGGCTGAGAAATGGTTAGGAGGTAAGGAAAGGGAGGTCTTGCATTGGAGGGGTGGTATGGGAAAACCAAAATGAGATGGGCAAGGTACTGGCCATGTACCTCTGGGTGAGTTACTTGAAGTCATAAACCTCAGTTTTCTCATTTGTAAAATGAGTTGGTAGATATCAAACTTCTTTGTGAAGATTAAATGAGATAATCCATGCAAAGTGCCTAGAATAGTGCCTGGCCAATAGCAGGCTCTCAATAAATGATTTTCTGTATCTAAGAAGTCTGAGATGGCAGCATGATTTTTGGGCACAAAGTAAGGAACATGTGGAGAAGGAGAGTTTTACATCTCTTTCAAATGTGGCTCAGAAGTAAGAACTGGGGAGAGGAACATGGATCATAAAAATAAGACCAGAAGAACTGACTGGGGCTAAATAATGGAGGTTCTGACATGAACGAATTTGGACATTGGCACATATGTTTATTAAATAAGTAGATTTCATGAATTCATAGAAGAGAGATTACAGTAAGTTATTTGGATGGGGCATTAGACATAGAAACCATTCATATACCCCCAGGCGTCAACTTTAAAATGAAATACCCTATTCATACCAGCATACTGCATTACACAGCCTTCGTGTGTCTCTCTTACCGCATTAGATTCCTAAACCCCTTAAACTTGACAAAAAATATTTTTCTCACTTCTGCTTCCCATCACGTAATACAATGCCTGGAATACTCTGGGTTCTTAAATAATGTCTGATAAATGAATGAATGATTCTCCTTTTTACATGATGTTGTGATATAAATAGAGAATAGACATTACATAAACCCTCTTAGGGAGCATTCCAAGCTGAGAGAAGTCGATAATAGAGTATGGAAGAGCACCTAGGACTCCTGCCTTATAGTTAGCGCTGTTGCTCTGCGTTTTGCTTACTTAAGCAAATAATCTATAGCTTCTGACCCCAGAGATTTAGAAGTTGAAAACCTTGAAAGAAGCTGGGAGGTTCAACTTTCATGTTGGATTCGGCTAAGTGGTAGAGGGCTAGTTTGGAATGTCAAAGTGCTTCACGAAACACGCCCTGTTTATATTAGGAAGCCGCAGATTGAGTGTTCATAGCCATCAGCTGGATGGCTCTTTGCATGCAGAGCAGAGCCACGTGGGCCCTGATCTTGCACTCAGTAAGTGAGAGGTGATTAGTAATTCAGGCTCCACATGGGCCTTCTTGG